TCGATGATCAGGGTTCCTTCAAACCCATTCTTTACTGCCTCAACAACAGAGGTGAGGGCAGGTTCAGGATCATGTCGAATGATCAGTTTGGAGTATCCTAGTTTCTTGATGTCGTTCAAAAGTACTTTGGATCCATATGGACCTTTTGTCACACCTTTGTAGGGCAACACATGAGCAAAAAGATGCTTCGTCCATCGATCTCTGACAACAAGAATTGGTGCATGGGTCTTCTCGTCCAAAACTACATCATCAGTTCGTGAATTCATGAAACAGTAGTCTACAGTCACTACTGGGGTTGTCTCATCGGTGTGGTCTATCTTCCTGTGGGGGTTTGCCTTAGCTTTTCCCCTTACACAGGCTTCACACCAAGACCTAAAAGGGAAGTGTGACACAACATGCTCTTCAAACTCTTTTCTCGTCGGGCGAGTGGGAGCATGGATTCGGAGCTCAGGCGGAACTTCGTCGCCTGGCTCGGCCTCTTCGGCCTGCTCGTCCACTACCGGACTTACCCATTGCGGTGCCGGACGAAAGGGTGGAATGCAAGCGGCACAGAACAGACGCCGTTGCTGAACGAGATCGGAATCTTAGTTCCGTCTCGGGAGATCTGCCCACCAGATCCGTGCATCTGAATGCACCAGCCCTTGCTCATAAGGGCCCCCGCGGAGAGCAGCGGTTTTGCAACCGCCATCACCCGGAAACAGCAACGTCCATTAAGGGAGTTCTGGCCGATGCCGATGGTCACCATGGCCTCGATCTTGCCAAGGTCCTTGACCACTTCGCCTGAGGCAGTCTTGTAGACTTTGCAGGTGCCTTCAGGCTGGATAGGCTTGTAGCCCAATGCGGTGGCCAGCTCAACAGGGATGCAGGAGGTCGCGGCTCCTGAATCCAAGGTCACCTGATGAGCCATTGGCGTCTCCATGGATGCCAGCTCCAAACTCTTGAGAGCGAGTGGATCGTCATCGCCTTCATCAGGCTCGCTTGAGGGAGTGGGATATTTTTTTCCCTTTCCCTTCTTGGCCTCACGGGCAGCATCCTGAGTGGCCACGTTGACAGCTCGGGTAAACTGCACCTTCCTCTGCTTGCCCTTTCCTTGGCCTTTATCGGAGGCAGCCGGAGCCGAAGCGGCTCGGCTTTTGCCCGGGGATCGTGACCGGGACTTCAGCCGAAGCGTCTGCCTTGGCGCTTCGCTGGATTCCTCTGGCTTGGATCCTGGTCCACGGAATCGCTCCTGGTGCTCCTCAGTCGAGCTCTTGAACCAGGCCATGCGTTCCTCCTTGGTCTTGCCTTTCTTCTCAGGAGGTGGAGGTGTCTTGGCGACGCGCCTTTGCTTTGGCGTCTTTGGGCCAACCTCATCTTCCTCCTCCTGATCTTCCATCATCTTCTGCATATGGGCAGTCATGTAGAAAGGTGGTCCTTTCTTGACGGTCTCAAGCTTTGGATCTTCCATCTTCAAATGCTTTGCCACATCTTCGGGCTTCAGATCCATGTCGGCATCTTTCACATGCTTCGGCGCATCTTTTGAAGTTGGGCTGCTTTGCTGTCCCTTGGCAGTCTTGATGCGCTTTCCCATCTCTTTCTGCTTGATCGTCCATTCCTTTGCCCACTGGTTGAGGACTTTTGGCGGGCAACAATTCAAAGCCATATGATGGTTCCATAGGCCGGTGTCATTGTCACACCTCAGGGCCTTGTTGCACGCACGGCAGACCATGTTCTTGCTGCCATCTCTGTTCTTGTGGGTGCATTTGGCTACCCATTCATCATAGCTGAGGATGCGCTCTTGGAACATGTGGTCGAGCCATGGCACGGTATCTTTCTCTTTTTCTTCTTCTTGTCCATCTGACTCCTCGTCAGCTGGCTCAGTGCCATTCTCATCCTCTTCAACTTCACCTTCAAACTCTTCTTCTTCTTCGAGTCCCTCGATCTCAGTCACATCAAGGGGATTGATGTTCTCCATGACTGGAGCTGCGAAGGATGGTGCGCTTGTTGCTCCTTCGCCTTGGCTTTCGACGCGCTTCATCACAACATAGTCCTCTGGGTTGAACCCAGCTGCAGTGAGCGCCTTGTCGATGACACTGCGGGCTGGATGGCTAGTAGCCGTCCATGTCTGGCTTTCCCGCTTCATCTCTGCCAACTCTTGAGTGGAAAGATCCTCGATCTTGGGCTCCTTCTCTTTTGGCTTTTCAGGCTTCTTTGCCTTTGCTGGCTTCTTGTAGCCACGATGCCTCTGGGCCTTTTCTCGACCTCGAGGCTGAGGGGCTTCATCAAATTTTCCTTCATCATCTTCATCATCCCAAGCTTGAAGTCGACCAGTACCCTTGGCACGAGCGATCTCATAGTAATCGAGCTCCTCAGGGTAATTGGCCTCATAGTCGCGCCAGGATTCGAAACGATCCTGGGCCTTCTCAACGCGATGCTGCTCGGCGCGCTGACGGCTCTTCTCTTTCTTCTTAGCCAATCTTGGGTCCATGCCTGATGCCAAATCAGCTGAGAGCCTTGGCGACTCCGCCGGAACCGAAGCGGCTCGGCGAGGAGTTGGCCTCTTCAGCAAGATCTTGGCTTCTCTCTCCTTTTCTTCATACTGTTCTTTCAGCCTCTTCATCTCGGCCTGTTGTTCCAAGATGGCGTCATTGGCTGCTTTGCCTTTGGCTTCGGCCTCCTCGATGGCCTTCTGGATTGTCTCAGACTTCTTCCCATACAGCTCGCGATTGGACTGCATGGTCTCTTGGATTGCTTGGTTCATGACTGCAATCCCAGCAGCTGCAATTCCAGGACGACCTTTTCCAGCTCCTGGCTTCTTTGGCATAGCCTTGACTTCAGTCTCAGCTTTTGCCTTGGCTGCTCCACGAGAAATTGCGGCAGGTGCTGCTTTCTCCATCTCGAAGGCAAAGAGGGTGGCGATGTCAGCGGAATACTCAGGCTCGGGTTGATGCTCTTGAGCCATAGAGGTTTCAGATTCCTCAACTGAAGCTACCTTCTTACTCTTACTCTTGCCTTTACCTTTAGAGTCTTTGCCTTTGCCACCTTTGCCTTTACCCTTGGAGTTTTGGTTGTACCAACTACTCTTGTTCCAATCATTCTTATACCAATCGTTCTTGTTCCATGAGTTGTTCCATGACGAGGGACTGGACCATGAAGAACCTTTTGCCTTCTGTTTACCTTTGTCGTTTCCCTTGCCTCCATCTTGACTCTTGCCTTTTCCTTTGCCGCCTTTTGAGCCACCTTTGCCTTTTCCTTTGGCTTTGGCCAGACTTGCAAGTGAAGCTTGCATCTGGCTGGCAGCTGCGGCTAGTGCATCAACATCCATTGGTGCTGATCCAGTCTTTGCTTCTTTTCGGCTCTCGATGTTCTCGAGGTAGGCCAAAATCTCTGACTTCATGATGGCATAGTCAGTGAGTCTCGAACTCTGGAGATCAAGGTGATCTTGAAGTTTGGCTGGACACATCTGCTGAAGACAACTTCTTGCGATGTCATCATCAAGAGCTTTCTTCTTCCGCTCTTCATACTTTCGCCTGATGTTTTCCCAGGCTTCTATGCTCTCTCTGAGCTTGTCCAATGCGCACTGTTGTGGGTGCAGGACCTTCTTCAGCAAAGCTGAGTTTGCTTGTGGGTTCTGTGGATCATACTTAGTGATCAATCGTCTCAAAGCCTCTAGGCCAAAGTGCTGACCTCTGGAGGTATTCTTGACAATCTCGAGGGCTTCCCCCTCACATAGTGAGATCAGAGCCTGTCGGGCCTGAGCTGAAACAAGCTCGGCTCCTTCAGGATAATCATCTTCCAGAGATGTCTCATTGATCTCTGTGTCTTGATGCTCTTCGAGGAGCTGAATGCACTTTCCTGCATTCTTGTGACTTGTCTCAATCCAAGTCTTGAACTTGAAGTACCATGAGTCCCAGGTACCTGTGTGTCCACTGAACTTGTCAGGCTTTGGAATGCC